TACTGCTACTCTAGCAGTAAGCTAGCCACAATGCTTGGAGTTGTGAGTTGAAGAAACTGACAAGGTGCCACATCTACGCTGGCGTTACGCTGCTTACTGGACAGCAATTGGGAAAACTTAAACCCTTAGACAGCGGATTCTTAGTGTGATATGGCGTTGCAACGATAGTTAAGAGCCTACCTGCGACGCTGTACTGTACTAGTGGGAGCTGTTAGGCTGAAGTTGATAGGTATACTATTGCGCGGCAACAGAGAGTTAGTGTAGCTAGTCAACGCAGTGTTGCTGGAATGTGGTTTGCCTTTGAAGAAGGGCTTGATGAAATGCACAAGGGGAGCAAGCAGCTGCTAAATTGCAACTTTGATTAGGCGTTAACGGACGTGCAAATCCAGCAACAAGCAACTTAGCTAGCATCGCAGCAAACTTAGAGCGCTGCTCGCCCATGACCTGGCATACTCACAGCGATGATAGATGAGGGGCTTACTAGACAAGTGGCGGCAGAACAGAGTTACTGTGTTAACAAGTTGTATTTGCAGGTTGCGCAATACTTCTAGTGTTGCGCGTGTTTATAGTAAGCAACCTGCACTTTCTGTACCAACTTTAGCAACCGCGCTAGTAACAACTGTTTAGTATAGCTAGGTTAATAAAGGACTAAAGTTCTAGGCACTTGCTCTGCTTATTGCTGTGTTTCTTTATCCTAATTTTTAACTGCTTAAACGTCTTCTTAATAGGGCTGTAGCAGTACTTAAGTATTAAGCATACTCTCCCTACAGTACAAGCTATAACAGCAGGTAAGGGAAGCATTATTAATTTACTCTTAGGACCTAGCTGTGGCTTATGTATTAGGGTCTGCCTTAGGAAGGTATTTATTTTAAATAAGGGCGCGCGTATAGAATATTGCTAAGGGGAGAGATAGTATTAAGGTGCAGTAGTAATTGTACAATAGGCGTGCAACCTATACTCTTAAGCATAGTACAAAGAGAAAAAATACTCTAGGTTTATACTTAGATTAATATTGCAAAATAGCTATTAGGCTTTACCTATAATTTAGTAGCATAAGGTAGTTGTTACAGACATTACTACTATTTTCTAAACATTAAAGGGTTGTTGCAAGCGTTCTAGCTATTTCTTGAACATTGTAGTGTTATTAGCGTTATTAGGGGTTGTTAGGGTTGTTGGCGTTGTTAGGGTTGTTGGGGTTGTTAGCGTTGTTGGCGTTGTTGGCGTTATTGGCATTGTTGGCGTTGTTGGCGCTGTTGGCAGAGCGTAGTACGTCTATACTAGTGTTGCCGTTTTCGCGCAATGCTTGCGCAAGTATTTTCCTGAACATGCAAGATACATTATAGGGACAGTATGCCTGTGAGGCATTTTTATCTTGTGCAAGCTCTACTACTATTGTTTAATTTTTGCTTAACAGCTATAATGTTTATTTAGATTATACTGTTGCCCACAGTACAATGCCACAATTTCCCGATTTTGACAATGGAAAAACTTTTCCTGGTGTAGTATAAGGAGACAAATATACCCTATAATTAGAAGCTCTTAGTCTCTAAGAATAGTTAGATAAATAATATGCTTAGCCTTAAGTAGTTAAAGCACTTTAACACGTATATAAAGACGTGTTGGGTAGGAGTGTATAGGTTACTTATCTTAGACAGCTATAAGAGCTATCTTAACTAGGAGTTTAATAACTATTACCTAGAGAACTAAATCCTTACTCTCTACATCCTACCTTACTTATTATATATTCTCTAGCTACTTAATATAGTCTGTTTTTTATAATTAAAACATAAGTACTCCTAATATATTTAAGACTTAGCACACTAATATATCTTCTATATTAATAAGGAAGGCTTCCTACTAGCCTTTAGGGATATGTTCCTTAATATATTTATAAAGGTTAACTACTAAAAGGCCTTTAAGGTATTAGGGCTTATTCCTACTAACATGTAGGTAGTGTTAGATTGCCTTAAAGTGCAGCTGCATACCCTACTAGTAGTACCTCTACCTAAAATACTGTAGCAATCTAAGACACTAAGTAATATACACAAGTTTAGGTCTTAATCTAAGCTTATAAGCAACTCCTTCTAACAATTACTAAGTATAGCGCAAGAGGGGTTCTTAAAGCTTGTAAAAGGGGCTAAAGAGATACTGCACAAAAATGTCCTTATTAAGGCCCACGTGCGAGAGCTTAAAGAGCAATTAGCAGTAATAACTAAGAGAAAATCGCGTAAGAGAAAGCAGATTCAGCATAGTGGCACACTTGAGTATGGCCCAGCAGCATCGCGGGTAGCTGCTGAGGCGTGTGTAGCAGCTCAGCCATCTAAGAAGACTTAGGGTAGAGGTGGTCAACTAGGAGCTTAGTCAACTATTCAGCGCTGTAGGAACTGCAGCAAGACTAGACACAACGCACAAACGTGCTAGGAGGGTACAGAAACATCTTCTAAATCTAATGCAAGCACGCAGTATGCTAGGTCACTATTTAATAGCAAGTAGTTGTAGTTGTAGTAACTTGTGTTGGTTGTGCTAAGAGAAAATGGCTAGTTTAGTGATAATATAGATTATCACCAAGCCGGCTATATCACTAAACTAGCCATTTTCTCTTAGCATAACTAACACAAGTTACTACAACTACAACTACTTGCTATTAAATAGTGACCTAGCATACTGTGTGCTTATATTAGATTTAGAAGATGTTTCTGCACCCTCCTAGCACGTTCGTGTATTATGTCTAGTTTTGCTGCAGTTCCTACAGCGCTGAACAGTTAACTAAGCTCCTAGTTAACTACCTCCACCCTAAGTCTTCTTAGATAGCTAAGCTGCTACACACGCCTTATCAGCTACCTGTGATGCTGCTGGGCCATACTCAAGTGTGCCACTATGCTGAATCTGCTTTCTCTTACGCGATTTTCTCTTAGTTATTACTACTAATTGCTCTTTAAGCTCTTGCACGCAGGCCTTAATAAGGATGTTTTTATGCAGTATCTCTTTAGCCCCTTTTACAAGCTTTAAGAACCCCTCTTGCGCTATACTTAGTAATTGTTAGAAGGAGTTGCTTATAAGCTTAGATTAAGACCTAAACTTGTGTGTATTACTTAGTGTCTTAGATTGCTACAGTATTTTAGGTAGAGGTACTACTAGTAGGGTATGCAGCTGCACTTTAAGGCAATCTAACACTACCTAC